CTCCCTGCAAACCGTTTGATATTTATCCCAATTCTCTAAGCTTTTACATTTAAACCAATTTTTTTAACATAACTTCTTATATTTCATCTTTTCTTGCACATTATTATTTCACCACAAACTATTTTTATTTATATTTTTTTTTATTTTTATTTTTCAAGTATATCTTTTGGTACTTGTTTAATAGTGTTTGTTACTTTGTCCCACATTAGCATTTTCTTCCTCATGAATATCCTAAATATTGAAAACTTGAATTTTACTCATAAAAATAATTTTATTTGTCATTTAGGTTCTCCCATCTAATTTTACGATGATGAGTCTTAGTATTCTTTATTTTACAACTCTTCATCTTAAAATATAGAACTAATAAACGATATTGGGTACTTAAATCATCACTGTAATTGACCTTACAATCTTTACAATTTCTACAATCTCGACGACCTCTTCTTCTCATAAGAAAATAATCAATTTATATTTTATTAGATTCATTTTTATAAGTAATAAGATGTTCATCTGTTTTCTTTCATCTGTTTAATAAGATGCTCATTTCTTTTCTTGAATATAATATTAGTAATAACAAAATCATACGCTAAAGCAAAATCTAAAATAGGTCTACATTTTTCATTAGTCACTCCAAAACCGTAGTCACCATGAATATTTCTGCAATCTTCCACCAGCAATCTTCCACCACTCTACCGACATATTCATTTAAATCTCCTCCAATAAAAATTCCTTTTTCAAGAGGTATCATTTGTATTAAGTCTTCTAAGTCATTCCAGAATTTATCTTTAGACCCTATATCTAAACCTAGCTGAGGACTGTAAGCACTTATAATATTAAAAATCTTAGTATCAATGATAATCCTAAGGGCTATAATTCTTTCTCCAATTCTTTTAATTTTTACAACAGTATCTTTCAAACTCTTATCTATAAATACACATACACCATTTCTTTGATGAATCTCACCAGAATACCAAAGTTTAAAACCCAGGTTATCAATCTCCTTTGTCTTTTCTCCAACCCTTTTAGTTTCTTGAATACATAAGATATTAATATTGTTATGAATCATATTATCAACTAATTTCATTAATTTACCATTGAAAGTAATTATATTCTTTATATTCTAAGATCTTATCCTAATAGTAGTTTCATTAGTTTAATGAACTAACTTCTTTACCCGCATCCGTCCGTAATATGGAAACTCTTGCTTATTTACACTACACCCAGGCGCCGGTGTAGCGTCCCTTGCACACTTTTCATTGTATTCAGGTCATGCAGCGCGCCGCTTCCAGGGGGACGCCTTAACACTTACACAATGATCAAAATAAGGCTTCGTTTGGCGCCGCTGCGAGGTTGCGGCGCGGCACCGCACAACTAAAAATCGATGTTTGGGGCGGCGACAAGCATGCGAAGGGCCGCGATATACCCGAACACGGAACGCAATGAACAACCCGTGGTCTGGCTTCCTCTCTCGGCTTTTTACCCGATTACCCTACACTCCCGATTCTTATTTCTTCCCGTGAAAGAAGACGAACTGCGACACCTCCTCTTCTCCGACAACTTCCTGCTCTTTCCGGCGCATATCACGCAACCAAGCCGCCTCTCTTCTCGCGAGTTTCTCATGTGTAGGGCTTCTTTTTTCTGGTAAGATTTTTTTTTTCTGTTTTTTCGAGATGGAACAAACGTGACTCTTTGTAGTTCAGAGAAAACTTTTGGGTGTTCATTTTTTTGTGCGAGAGTGGGTTTTCCTTAGAAAACCTGCTGTTTGTTCTATAATCAGGGTTCGGCCCTCCCTAGGAGTGTTTCTGTGACTTTTCAGCTGTTGTCCTGAATTGATTCCTGTTGCTAATTGCGGCAATATTCATTTCCAGGAGGAATACTGCTAAGCAATCAATTGTTTTCCCTGTTGTGTCACTACCACTTTGTTATTCCCAAAATATTCATTTTGCAATACATGACACCCTGTCATAGAAATAAGATAGTTGGGTTACAACCATAGGCATCCCTTTACAAGGAGAACCAATTTCATTTAATTGCTTGATGTTCCCGAGAAACATAAAAATGCAAATCTCTATGGCAATGGCTCATAGGTGATGTTATTACTCTTCTTTGCTCTTCTTTGCTATTTCCCCATGGAAAGAAGACCTGAAATTGTATTATGTGGAGAGCTGAAAATAACATTGGTGATGTATTTGCTAGCTTGTCAACGCTTAAAAAATGAAACTGCACAAAATTTATGTTATATGAGATTGCAAAAGAAATTTTAGATGTCTTCAAAGATATTTACTTTGATAGTGAAAATCCTAAAAATCATATGCTTATAGCAAGCAAGAGGCATATCTGAACAAAATACCTCAACCTATATTTCACATTATAGGTTTTTTGTGTAGGACGTTTAGTATTATGTATTTTGCAATCAATTATATTTTTTTGTGCAGGACGTTCCATTATTTTGAATAGTTTAAATAGTGCATACATTTTTTATTATAAGTTAGAGTTCTCCCCATCATAGGTGAAGAAACTCCATTCTCCCGGTAAGTTTTGCACTATTGTTATCATAGCTACTATTGGTGCGATTTTCCCTTCCAATTATGACTATGAATCTTGTACATAGCCACTATTGTAATTGTTTTAGACTTTTTTTTGCTGTTTTGATACACTGTGACGTGAGATGAATATTTGTAATTTTTTATTGTTTTTATTTGAACTTTTTTTCTTAAAATTATCAAATTTATGGTTTCTAGGATTGAAAAATTTGTAGAAGTTTATTTTTTACATGTTAAGCTTGTAAAGTGAAGTTCTGCTTTTGATGTATCATATATAAGATTATCATTTTTCTGTTCCAAACAGTTTAACTAAACAGGGGCAGAATAGTCATTTTTCCAGAAACAGCTGCCCCACAGCTGTTTTCACATAGCTGCAACAAATGACCAATCAGTTTTCCCACAGCAGTCCCGCAACAGCTTCCCCACAGAAGCTTCTTGGGGCAGCGCAGCTGCAGCTGCGCCAAACCGACCGACCCTAATTCATGTCATAATTTTTTTGACAAGTTTTACGCATGCTGTCGACTATCTAGCGCAACCCTCCACTTTTCACATTCTTATGGCAACCACCACACTTGATAAATTAATGTATAATAAAAAATTTTCCCGCTTAGTTTATTCTCTCAAAGTCCTAGAAAATGGCATGAAATTGCAAAGTTTGATTTCAACTTTCTTGGAATCTTTCAAAATAGTAAGTTTCAAAACACAGCCCGAGCAAGGAAAAAAATAGCCGCAGCACATATTTTCTGCTACATTCCTAAGCTGGAGTGAGGAAACATATGACCATTTGTAGAAGAATATCGGGTATTCGTTCTCTGCCATGGCTAAGATGAAATAGAAAACTCATTAAAAAAAAAAATGAAACAAGCTGAAACAACACTCAAAACTCAGAATGCCAAGAGCTTGGCTCAATGCTTACTTTCTATATTTCTGACATGTAGAATTCTTCAGATTGCCTTCAAATTTATTCTACTTGAAAATTTTGGTTATAAAGTAATTGAATATTTGATAAGCATTAAGTAAATCTTTGCATAAAATGTTATGCTTCTTAAAAAGTAATTTATAAAGCATCACATGTATTTTAGGTCAGTAAAACGATAGTGAGCATAATTCATCATTTAGAATAACTTCGTAAAGCATGAGTGCATCTATTTTATGAGATGAATTTACAAGGAGGAGATAGAAAGAGAGAAGAATCCAAGGCATGGGTTTGGTTTTAGTTTTTGCTGTTGCCTATAAATTGGAAGCTTATATGCATTTTGTTTCAATGAAAAGAAAAAGAAATTCCTTTCTCTTTTTCTATTTTTCCCATCAGTGATAGATCTGGCCCACTTTGTCAACAATTAATAGCAAGTTCATGAAATGAAGTCAAATCAAATACATTATATGTAGTACTAATACCAAGACTTCTAGAAGTCGGAACCTCAAATTTATTAGCAGTGTCCTATGTGCTTTGTGATTTTGGCGATGTTATCTTCAATCTATCATTTATTTCTTAATTTTTTTACCATAGTTTTATTTTTTTGATCTTATCCATGCATATTTTTTTCTTTTTTATGCAACTCCAGACCACTCAAGTCAACCTTTTATTGAAGTATCTTCAATAACCTTTGATTTAATCATTCCTAGTTTTGCTTTCTGCATATTTTTATATTTTAATAATATATGTGAAATTTGCGGTTTAGAAAATGCTACTGAAGATCATGGAATAACTATATATTTTTTAGGAATAATTACATACATACCACCCGAAACATTGACATTTACAACGTAAGCACCCAGGTGATTTTTTTGAACTGCCGATCCGAACTATTGATAATTTAATAAAAATGAAAAATATGGGTTGGTGTTTTTCCATGAATTTTGATATTTGAGTGAGAATTTGAAAAATGGATGAAAGACGGTGGTTGATTTGTAATAAGCAAGTTTCCTGTGGTCTATATGTAATTGCCCCCCTCCTTTTTTTTTTCATTTTTCCTTCTAAAATTGTGTATAAAAACCATCTGCTCTATCTGCTTTCTGGCCTTGTTTGATTTGCATTTTATATATTTAACGGCAAAACTTCTTAGACTATCTAAAGAAACAGACATCTAACTTTTTAATGAGAGATTATATTCTTCATAGTCCACCCGTGAGTACCTTTAGTGTAAAAGATATTTCTAAGTTTTGCTGAATTATACTTTTCTAGTAACTGTCACATAAAAAAGTCTCAAAAAACAACTGATCATATGAAAGCCTACGATCATATTAACTTTAAAATGTGTGTTTATCAAAGACTGTAGGGGCATTTACATACATACCACCCAATTCCTATGTATTTACAAATCTAACACCTAAACACCTTTTACATATATATATATATATATATATATTTATTTATACCACTCAAATCTTTCATATCATTTACAAGTACTACTATTTTTAACTTTTGAAAAGTGATATACACCTTTTCAAGCATGTGTAAGGTGGCATATATGAAAAAATTGAAGTTTAGGTGTTAGATAAGTAGAATACGTAGGAATTGAGGAGTATCCATGTAAATTTTCCGAGTCTTCTTTATTCAGGATCATCAATCTAACTGCACTTTTCCTTTCCCAGTCCTACTTCCAATTACAAGTTTTGATTGGGATATCTCACAGTTCAGAACATCATCAGAGCTGACGAAGATGACTTTGAAAACATCAAACTGAGCTTCATTACTGAAGCTGCTGATGTACGGCCGGATGGTTCGGCGATAGTCGGCCTTAATAAGCCACGAGTAGCAAGCCTGCAACGACTTCCAGACATGGAGCATTGCCACCAACGGCTTATTGTGGCACTGGAAACACACGCCGGCAGTAGACTCCTTGACATTGTTGAAGCTCGAACGGAGAATTGTCATACACGCAGAAGACAGATCAGAGCTATCGTCAGATGCGGGGACCATTCCACATAGCAGAATTGTGTCGCCGGTCGAGAACCGGGCGTTCGGCTGGCCGTCTTTGGATTCTCCGGCATATACGCTGTAAAAACCGTGCTGAATGAGGACTGCAAGGTGTGATAAGTCTTCCATGGCTGATAACTGTTAGAAGGAATGTTTGAACAATTGAAAGAAGGAAAATTTTTATACATAGCACACGATTCTTCTGTGTTTACATAGTTAGCACCTAAATGTTTCATATATCACATTAAAAGAGTGCATTGCACTTTTAAAATGAGGTAATAGTACTAGTTTTCATGTGATATTAAAGATTTGAGTGCTATGTGTGTAAATATGAAACTCTAAGTGTGAGATATGTAAATACATAAGAATTGTGTGCTTTTGTATGTAAATGCCGACCAACTGCTGTATTGTGAGCTCTGAACTTACCAGAGCTTCATTCAGTATATGTCTGTCTTCTTCTGATCTCTTGATCCATGCACCATACCACACAATCTGATTTCAAGAGTCGAAGATTTCATGATAGAAATTTACATATCATACATATCTACATATAACGAAAAGTTCATGGGGCGAAATTTACCAAGTTTCCATGAATGCTCTTCATCACCGAGCTATAAACACAGCCGAGATCCTCAGCCTGGAAGGAGAAACATTTCATCGAATCGATGATTTCGTCGTCGAGAACACCAACCGACCGCAGCACGAAGAAAGTGAAGTCTAAGTTGTTCTTGAAAGGCACAAAGCAAGGCATGATCTTACACCCTTTTCCTTTCTTTTCTTCCAATGATGACAACAACAAAAAAAAAAAAAAGTTTTCTTTTGTAAAGAAGATGAAGTGCAGAATCTTATAAGGCAGCTGTTCTAATCTTTCTGGTCATATTTGGCAGCGCTGAGGACCGGAAGCTAATCAACACGTGCGGTTGGATTCATGGAAGGTTTGAAACTGTGGGAGTCTCTGATGAATTTTGAGGTATTGGGACAAGTTTTAGTAGTTTTCTGGGTTTTTTTGAAATTTTTTAATGGCTGAAATGGGCTTAATCAACTATGAAGACTGGTATCATGCATTCTTTGATTATGACCGTTGGAACTACGTGGGCGCTGGCGTCAGAAAAAGTCTCGAATCTATATTGGGAAGAATTTCTGTTATAGGGACAATTACTTACATACCACCCAATTCCTATGAATTTACATATCTAACACCTAAATTTTATTTTTTATATTTTTATCACTCAAATCTTTAGTATCATAGAAAAATATGGCTATTTTAGCTTATAAGAAAAAAATAAATGCATCTTTTCATTCATAAGGAGACATATCTGTACAAATTGAAGTTTAGATGTTTTATACCACTCAATTTATGATTTTTCATATCTGAAATTTACGTTTGATTTTTATATTGGGAGATTTACATACCTACCACACAATTTTTATGTATTAACATATCAATCATTTAACTTTAATTTTTAGCTACAAATCACTATTCTATGCAGAAAACATAGGAATTCGGTGGTTTGTACGTAAAAATTGAAGTTTTTGGTGGTTGATATGTTAATATATGGGAATTGGGTGGTACTTTATCTATTAACAAAAGGTGCAGTTTACAATTTAAATTTAGAAAAAGTTGTACTTTTAATGTGATATGAATTATTTGAGTAAAAATGTAAACAATTAAAATTTGTACGTTAGGTGTGTAAATATATAGAAAATATGTGGTAAGTATGTAAATTCACCAATGTATATTAAATAGGAGATTAAGTAATCGATAATGATATAATTAAGATAACTTTGGTGTATATGTAGGGTTGGAATTAGTGCCTTCCTCAAGGGGATAAAAATTTCATTGGCATTAAAGTGAAATAAAATTATTAAATTGCATAACCTATTAAGGGCCCGCTTGGGGCAGCTTATAAGTGCGGCGATATTTTTGAAAACGTCGCCTAACCGTTTGTTTTGCATGTTTTTGAAAATACTGTTTCTCGCGTTTGGGTTTTTTACACTAAACGTAAGCTGCGGGTTGACCCACACGGTCAACCCGCGGGCCGCTTTTCAGGATAAACTGTTTGTCTTGAAACGCACAAACTGCCCCAAACAGACCCTTAAGTGAAATCATGTTGCTCCGCCTTCATATGGGAAAATTGCATGAAGTTAGGTTTAGTGGAAGAAATTTTAAGGCCTTTATGTTAATTGAATTATACAGTTTTTAGGTAGACGTTTTAACTAGGTGTTATAAATATAAATATCAAAATTTAAGTGTTAGATATATAAATGCTTAAGAGTTGTGTGATATGTATGTAAATTTTTCTAGAATATTTGTGTTTGGTAACGAGTGTTTATGTAATTATTTTTCTTGTTTTCTTGCTAATTATTGTATTAAAAGCGCTTATTTAATGTCTTTTATTTAACAAATGTATATATTAAATGAATGAGACTGGTGCTAATCATAACGTAATAAACTCAAAATTGCTATTAATGTATTTTAAACTTGAAGGAATTTATTAGTTAAACCTTACTAATAAACTGCGGTGAGATCCTTTCTTCCGCTCACCATTATTGGTTAGGTTGAAAATTAGGCCAAATCGGACCCCAAGTAGGATGGGACTTCTTTGTCGGGGTGATATGAGTTCTCTTTCTTTCGTCTTCATTTGGGCCCATATTGAACTTTGTTGAAAGTGACCCGTCTCTAGATCTTTCAATCAAAAGGAGCCAAGATAAAAAATGACAACAAAGAAAAAGTTTGAAAGATCTACTTACATGCCACCCAATAAATATGTATTTATAAGCCAACAATAACAACAACAAAAATCCTTTATCCCACTGTGGTGTTGGCTACATGAAACTTTTTTCTCCATTGCATCCTATTGTGTGTCATCTTTTCATTTAAATGTAATAAATTAAGATTATTTTTTATACAATGCCCAAATTTTTCTTGATCTACCTTTGCATTTCTTAACATAAGTCGAATCTAAAATATCTACTCTTATAATCAGATCATCAGATGGTTCACATTTAGTGTGACCAAACCATTTAAGATGACACTCTCTAATTTTGTTCGCCACAGGAGCTACACAAACCCTTTCACTGATATATTCATTGTGCATTTTGACTCAAGTGTATAGCCACTCATCCACCTAAGCATTCTCTTCTCGGAAACACCTAACTTAATTTTATTCTCCTCTTTTAAAGGCGAGCATTCTGTGCCATAGAGAATTGCAGGTCTCACCATTAGCTTATAAATTTTTTTCTTTCAGTCCAAGCGATACTTTTCTATCACACAATAGGACCAAAGTATTCCTCCACTTCAAGCTACCAACTTGAATTCTACTAATAACATCTCCATCTATATCACCATCACTTTGAACAATCGACCTGAGATATCTAAATCATTCACACATTTTAATAATCTGATTACTGATAGTTACAACTTTGTCACTAGAGCTATTACTTCTAAAATTATATTCCATATATTCAATTTTAGTTCTTACTTAAACAAAGGCCTTTAGACTTCAATGTAGACCCCCATAATTTAAGTTTTTCCTGAGCTCTTTCTCTAGTCTTATACACAAGAAGATATCATCGGCAAAAAGCATACACCAAGCTACAACCTCCTGTAGATGTCCTGTAAGGGCATCTATAACTAAAGCAAAAAAGATATGGCTTAAACCTGATCTCTGATGTAATCCAACTAAAATAGGAAAACATTTGGTCAATCCTCCTTTTGTCCTCCTTTTGTTCGAACACGAACACAAGTAACAACTCTAGTATACATATCTTTAATGACTTAAATATATGTCATATCAACATCTTTCTTCTCTAGAACTCTTCAAAGGATATCATTAGGAATCTTATCTCAAGCTTTTCTAAATCAATAAAAATCATATGTAGATCCTCCTTACTCTCTCTGAACTTATCCATCAAACCTCTGAATAAATGTATAGCGTCCATATTAGACCTGCTTGACATAAAACCAAAATGATTATGAGAAATCATTGTAATATGTCTTAACCTATGTTCAAATACCCTCTCATAATTTTAAAGTATGACACATCAACTTAATTCTTCTATAATTTGCACAATCTTTTGCATCTCTTTTATTTTTAAAAATAGGGACCAAAATACTCTTTCTCTGTTCCTTGGATATCTCTTTAATTTTTAAAATAAATTAAAGGAGTAAGTCAAAGAATTCCTAAATCTTCTAAATATTTCCACACTTCAATTGCGATATCATTAGACCATGCAAACTTTCCACCGTTGGTTTTTTTAAAGCTTCATTAACTTTTTTTTTTTACTAATGCGACAAAAAGATTGAAACATTTTATTATTATTAACAATATTAAGATCAATAAGGTCGATCTTATTTTCAGAACTTTCATTGAAAAGTTTATCAAATACATAAATTTTGATGTTTACATTTATTGTACTTTACAACTTTACCTACATATGAAAAGTTTTATTTCACCATGAAAAATTGAAAATACTTATATTTTCGATATGATATAATATTTTTTGTGTCATTTTACTTGCTATACTAACGCTTAGGTAGATAAAAAAAATCTATATAAAATAAAATAATTAATAATCATCTAAAATTATAAGAATGCTAATTTACTATTATTTATTAGGGCATTATTGCCTTTATTAAAAATTATATTGTAGTTGAAAATTTAGTAATCTTTGGAAGCATTCAAATATAAAATATTACATGCTTTTTTATGCTTATAATTTCAAACTATATTAAGAGTATACTTTGTTACAGGTAATTTTGGGACAATTATGAAAATTTGTGGCTTATTAAAAATTTTGTAGTTCAATTTCAACATATTCAAGTCCAATGAATGTATCACATATCAAAGCATATTTATTCTAGCATAAGACCAATGTCATCATAGTTCATTAAGGGCCCGTTTGGGGCAGCTTATAAGTGCGGACGACATTTTCAAAACGCCACTGTACCGTTTGATTCACGCATTTCGTAGCTTATCACAAACCGTGTTTGGGTTTTTACACTAAACGCAAGCCACGGGCCGACCCTGCGGCCCGTCTGCGGGGCGCGTTTCAGGATAAACAGCTTATCTTGAAACGCACAAGCTGCCCCAAACGGACCCTAAGTAAAAAAGCATAATCAATCATGTATCTCTACCCATTTGTGAAACTCAACATGTGCTATATCTTGCTTCAAACCTCCTGCCAAACATGTGTCAACCCTCCAATTTTTACATTTGAAAGTTTCAGTCAAGAGGACGCACCTACTAGATGTACCCATGCATTACTACTTTTATGTTTGTTCTTATGTTTTGTTCTTTTTATTACTATAAAATTTCTAATCATTTTTTTTGTAGTGCTCATACACTACGGGAAAAAAAACAATAATCGACGGAATAACCGATGCTTTAGTCCTGTAGGAAATATCGACTTAAATTGTGACAGCTTTGTGACGGTTTAATACAAGAATAATTTTTTATGGTTTTCTGACTTTTCAATCCGTAGCTAAAGCGCATTCGACTTATTCTTGTCATTGCCGACGGTCTATTCCTGCTGGGTCATTGCACTTTAGTCTAAACTCGTCACAAAATCAAATTGCCATTTTTCTAGATTTATTAAAACTCATAAATTCGAAATGAGTTAAATCTCAGAAACTTTTGAGCAGTGGGCGAAGTTAAAACTCGTAAATCCATCGGTTTCATATACTAAATTTGGGACTTACGGGTCAAATCCGTGAAATCAGGATTTACGAAATTCGGGATTATATTTTGCCCAAAATGACCGTCTGCCATGTTTTAGCCTAAATCCAAGTTAAATGCTAGTTTAAATTTGTTGCTAGATTGCCTCTAAATTCAATTGGTGGAATTTTTTGCTTTACATAGAAATTAGGTGGTAGATAGGGTAGGGCTGTGAATTTAGCTCGATCAATGATATTGGCTCGAAAATTGATTTAATTTTGACTCACACTACAAGCTCGGATTGAAATAAGTGTGTTGAGCTACGAGGTAAAATTTTGGATCAATTTTCTTTCGAGCTGACCCCAGCTCGATTTGTCAGCTCAACTTGATATCAGATTGTTTAACATCCGTTGCATATGGTTTAAGGAGTATGTAGTATACATTGAAGACAATAACCTTCAATTATGTATTCATGTTTATCAATCTAATTCTTGTTTAATTCAATATACAAAAACAATGGTCCTGACTCTCTAAGAAGAAGAGACATTCAGAGGAGCTTTGAGCACAAGACAAACGATCGTTTTCTTGAGCAGTTCGGCGATAACAGAAGACGTGTCAGTGCTTTCTGTGGCTCGACGAGGATGTGTTCGTAGCCCTGCTTAGGACCTGAGATTCTCCCGCTTACTAGAAGAAGTGAGAGCAGGCCAAGTAGAATCGCTGCTTTGACTGTGGAGACCTGTGAGTCTCGAAGCAAACTGGTGGGACGCTCTCACATATAGAGTATAAGAGGAGACTAGTAAGACTTATTTTCTGCATTAAATCTTATTTTATATTATAGATGTTAACTGTTTTATTACATTGACAACTCCAGAGAAAGGATGAGAACCATCCGTTGCGGAGTTACACGAGTGTACTCATAGGCGGCAGTGAAATAAGTCCTAGGTGGACAGCAGATCCCAGACGACGCAGGTAATCACAAGATTAATTGTTATACAATTTAAATATCCATCTAAGCTTATTTAATCACTAACTTTCACTAATCACATTTTTTTGTAGAACTTCTAGAATCTGAAGAAGAGTCGATCCCAATAGTCGGGTGGTGGTCCGACCACAGGTCATTATGCTTCTGATTACAACTTGTGGAGGGAGGCTATTGGTTGCAAGACGAAGGACAAGGTCTACGGATTAGGTTCTCAGGCGACGACCAACGCTGCTATTCCGCTTAGCACATCTGGTGCATTGACTTTTGCTGCACACGAGGAGTCTCGTAGGTAGGTTGATGCTTGGGTCTCCACCCAACTAGCCCAAATAAGCTCGGAGATGGAGCTGAAGATGAAGATAGAGTTCGATGTGATAGTGTGTTATGCACGGTAAGGATCAAAGCGGCTAGCTCAGGATGTTGATGACGAGGATGATGATGATGAGAGGACGGAGGAGGATGATTTTGTTCATGTAAAACAAGTTATTCGAATGAATAATATTCTGTATGGACAATCGTTCATTTCAGTTGCTTTAATGTCATCGTTTGCCTTTTATTTATGTCTATGACTTTTGTGTTAATTGCTAATGTGATATTAGTTCAATAACTGCTTCGATTGGTACATTGTGTTGTATGGAAATTATAGTCTTACGATTACAGATGTGTAAAGTGTAGTGTTGAAGGAGATTTATTTACGTAACTTCTTTTGCTATAGTTTTTCGATGGCTTTACAATTGTTTGGATGAGTTCCGACGGTCATTTGACGAACTATCAAATAAGCAACGCCATTCTAAGTTGTTGCACTTTCCGGCGGCTAAAGCCATCCGTAATTTTCGACGGTCAACCAACGATGGTGCGACACTTTTGCAATGGAAGTGCTACGCTTTTCCGACGGCTAAGGGCGTCAGTTATAGTATCGAAGGACACCGAAGGTGTAACAAAACCATAGATTTGAACCAACAACGATGGGTAAGGTTCGTCAGTTAACTAGCGGTTAAAAAAAATGTCGGTAATTTCGTAGGTAAATGAATTACCTACAAGTGATTTTACTATGTCAAATAAATGATAATTAAATCGTTGGAAATGATTTTATCGACGAATTTTACATATTCTCCTACGGTATTAAGCAATCGGAAATAGGTTAAATTCCTATAATGATAGGTCTACAAATTCAAACAACTTTTCTCCTTGTTTTATGAATTTTTGTATTATTTATCATGTCAGTTATCAACCCTCTACATAAAGTATACCAATCATATTTTATTATCATCTTTTCAATCTATTAACCTCGGATAATAAAAATTTCTCTTATAATTGGTAACTGCATGCTCACTATTCCATTCTTTAGCATCATTTGTGGAAATTCAACTTTAGTCTAAAATATAGATATCTTAATAACAATAATACCAATAATAATGGTGGCCAATCGAAGTCTCATGTTTAGATTGGTACTATTCATGATGGACACCATGTCAAATACAAAAATTTAGCTTATTTCTGATGGTCTAATACCATCTGAGATTATTTAAAAGTCATTGGTAAAGTCATTTCTGATGATTAACTATGGTCTATTTGGTGTAGCAAAATCGCTTTTTGGTCATTCATTTACCCACGAAATTATCGACAATTTTTTTTAACCGACGAACCTCACCCGTCGTTGTTGGTTCAAATCCATAGGATTGTTCTTCCGTTGGTACTATAATCTACGCCTTTGGCCGTCAAAAAAGTGTAGTACTCCCGTTGTAAAAGTGTCGCACTTCTATCGGAAAAGAATCGCACCATCGTCGGTTGACAGTCGAAAATTTCAGATAGCTTTAGCTATCAGAAAAATACAAAACCTTAGAAAGACGTTGCTTATTCGATAGTCCGTCGAATGACCGTTGGAACTCATACAGACAATCATAAAGATGTCGAACGACTGTAAAAGAAAAAAGATAAAACTCTTTCTTCAATTATATAATTTACACACCTACAATCGGAAAACAACAATTTTCACACAGCACAATGTACTAATTAAAACATTTATTAAATTAATATCATATTAGTAATTAATGCAAAAATAATAGACATAAATAAAAGACAAATGATTGCATTAAACCAACCGAAATGAATAATTGTCCATAAAAAAAATTATTAGTTCGAATAAATTATTTTACATGAACAAACAAGAAAAAAACTAACTCTCGAATCCTCCTCCGTGCTCTCATCATTATCATCTTGAGTTGGTTGCTTTGATCTCCCTCGTGAAACATCACAGCAAACATTGTCTTCATCTTTAGCTCCATCTTCGATCTTATTTAGGCTAGTTGGGTGGAAACCTAGGCAGCAACTTGCCTGCAAATCTCCTCCTTTAGTGCAGTATAAGTATATGCCAGAGGGATTATACCACAAACTCTTGAAATCACATGTCTCGAACTGCTGTCATTGTTTAAGCTATAACAGATGTTAAACGATCTGATATCGAGCCGAGCTGGGGTCGACTCGAAAGAAATTTGATCCAAAATTTTGGCCCGTAACTCGACGTGTTTGATCCGAGAGTGATGTATGTGCCAAATTTTGAATTAATTTTAGAGCGGTTATCATTATTTGATCTAAATTTGCAGCCCTGCCCGACTTACTATCTACTTTCTACGTGTTGCAAAAAATTCCACCAAATCCGAATTCAAGGGTTGTCTGCAACAGATTTAGGCCAGGATTTAGGCGCGGCTTTATGTTGCCCAAACTGACCATCGGATAGGATTTAGGTAAAATCCTGCTCTAAATCTGTTACCAGACAGCCCCTATATCCAGCTTAAATCCTGCTTTAAAATCATTTTTAACCTAAACATAAAAATATCAAATGCAATATAAATAACGGTTTAAATTCCATTAAAACTAGAATAATTTATTGAATTGATTTTACTTTCGATTTGGCCGTAAGAAATCGAAAAAATGATGCACACTAGAGAGAAATCCTCGAGAAAGGCAAGCGCGGGTTCGGGGGATCAAGGGTGGGTGAGAGGAAGAAATGAGAAAATATTTTATGTCAGTTGGATATATTTAGTCTTCCTACATCTTCCCGACGAATATAAAACCGTCGGTTTTAACTGTTGGTCATTATGATATGACCGTCGGTATACACCTAAAAAAATGAAGATTTGGTTTTCAGACGAGTTTAGTCCATCAATTTATAAAGTGTAATGAACCGGCGGAAATAGATCGTTGGCAATACCAAAAATACCGTCAGAATCGCTTCAGCTACGGATTGGAAGTTCGAAAAGCCGTCGGAAATTATTCTTATATTAAACCGACACAAAGCTGTCGAAAATTATTCTCGTATTAAATCATCGCAATGTCGTCGGAAGCTAAGTCAATATTTCCTACTAAACTAGAGCCGTCATCTATTTCACTAGTTATTGTTGTTTTTCCCCCTAGTGGTTTGGGAGCCATCAATGGCAATACTTTCATTTGGTGATATTCATAAATTGTTCCCCCCATTAACATAAGACTATTCAATAATGCATTGAGTTATCATCAAATGAATTAAGCATTTTTTTTTATGGTCTAGCATTTCATTATGGTCTATGAATTGAGCAATATTTCTTAGCTTCTCATCCTACTTTATTTTTCTAATAATATTACATACTAACTTCATTAGAAATCAGACCAAGCTCTTCTTTTTTTAATTTACTTTATCAAGCAGTCATTAAATCAATTATCACTCATTTTTTTGATGGTTATTAATTATGACCTTGAAACATATAATTTCTACTATAGCAATACAAACTGTTAAGGTTATTATCAAAATGATAAACATGGTGGTATGTTCATTAACTTGAGAACATAATAGAGAAAAGAAGAGGAGAGGAAAAGAAATGAAGTGTTTGTTTGGGTCAGCTATAACTTATTGAATAATCTGTTAATAAGCTATGTGCGGTGGTTATTACAAATTTTTTATTTTTATTTGGAAAAACTAGACTGCTGCCAGAAAGCTGTCACTGCACCTAGATAGGTGCGGTATGAAAACACTGCTTTCAGCGTTTTCAAAATGCATAAGCTATCGAAACACAGTTTACCCAAACAGTCCAGGTGCGTTTTCAAAACGCCACCGCATCAAATAAGCTGCCCCAAACGGACCCTAAGTCTGAAGGAAGATAAATCACTTTTCTTATCATTCTCACGTACAAATACAACCAATAGAGTCTGTATATATTATATATAAACTTAGGAAACGACAATTTTGTAAATACTGCCAAAGAGTAGAAAAGTAAAAAAAATGCAATAGATATCCTGAATATAAAAGTTCTAATTCTAATCCCTAATCGATTTCATGACATGTTTCAGAAAAACGAGAAAAAATTTACGTACATAAGACGTACGCATAGCTGCGTACGTCAGAGGTTATTCAGAGAGTATTGAGAGGTTATAGGTAGGTTACACCCTCTGTAACATCTCTGTAACCTACCTATAACCCCCCAATACCCTTTGAATAACCTCGGACGTACACAGATCTACTTACGTCTTACGTACGCAAATTGTTCTCCAGAAAAACAGCCACCAGACAAAGAGAAAGCCAGAGGGAAGGGAGCCACTCGAGCAAAGAAGATAAGATAAATCCAATCTTCTACGTTCAATATAAATGCTGCCAATACAACACATCGAATTCATTCTATTTTTTAGAAATACCACCTCTATCTGAAATTTCAAATTTGATTTGGATTTATCTGCTACTTCTCACAAAATCTAATCTTGTTTTATTTTGATAAATAAAAAAAAAGTATCATATGAATAATGGGCATGAGGTAAAATTAATGTAGAAAATTCATGGAGCCATGCCTACCGGAAATATCCATTTATTTATTAAACATTTTTTTTAATCCATCCATTTGTTAAATCAAGAAGTTTTCAAGGGTTGTGCTGCAATTAAAAAGAAAAATAAAAGTGCAAATAATTGAAGGAGATAGAGAGAGAAAGAGAGCTGCGGTCGTCATTAGGGGTGTAAAAGAGTCGAACACGAGCGAGCCCAGGCTCGTTTGCTTAGCGAGCCCAGGCTCAGCTCGTGTTCGGCTCGTTTATATTTCGAGCTCAAAAAGTGTGTTCGTGTCTCGTTTGCTAGGCGAGCCAAACAGCCGTTCACGAATAAATAGCTTTTTTGACAACCCTAATCAGGTAGCTATAAGATGTTAAGGATTGGGGCAAGGTTTAAAAATTATTGTTTATATTAAAACATCATTTGAATCTAAATTTTATTGTTTATATTAAAACATCATTTGAATCTAATTTAATAATTTTTATTGTATTTTCTTAATTAATACTTATAATTGTTTTTATATCTTTATAGTCTTGTAGTCAATTATGTTATTTAAAATTACTACTCATCAAAAAAAATATATATATATACATATATATAAATATATATATATATATATATATATATATGTGTATATATATATATAAATGTCGGTGAAAAAAAA